CGACTGTCAGAATGTTTGTGAATGTCCACCTGATACAGCAAACAAGCCCAACTGACAGTGTAAACAAGACACTGCATTTAATCATGAGCCAGAAAGAAACATTCAACTGAAAAGCTGCAAATATACAAAAAGATCACCAAAAAGTCAGTTTAAGTGACCAACAATCAAATGTACAAAACCAAAGGCGTGATATCCAAGAAAAATTTAGACTAAGGTCAATCATTCCAGGCTTTTCCTAACAAAAATAAACAAAAATAACCGGATATAAACTAAATATAATTTACATTTAAAATACAAACTAAAAAACAATTTTAACCCTGAAGACTGACGCTCAGACTGCTGGTCACCATAGCAACGCTGATAACGAAACGGCAAAGAGAGAGATTTAAGACGAACATCGATAATTTGGAGATGAATGGACTTATTTGCATTTATAATCACTCCAGCTGGTTTCCTGATACGTTTAATCTGCAACAACTCGCGAGGCTGAAGTCGCTTCTCATTCAGCAGCTTCTCGTTTGAATTCTCCCGTTCCACCTTAAATGGCGCAGCAGTACAATCTGGTGCCTCAGGCACCATATAAGGTGGAACGGGGCAATACGAACAAGAAGCTGGTGAATGAGAAGCGTCAGCCTCATAAAAAGTCAAACATTGAGAGACATTTTACAAGAAATTTACGTAAGTTTTCTGAGGTGCGAGAAAAGTGGCTACAGTTGAGTTAAGATTAATGCAGAGCAAAGTAAGTCTGCGTATATTTTTTAGTCTATACTAGCACATCAGCACATACTGAGACCTATTTACAACCAAGATGGTAAAAAGGACATAAAACACTGTGGCTCCCAAAGTGTTTTCTTTGTTGATTTTTTTGGATTTTTGTTGAAAGGACAAAATGGCTCTTCTTAACATTTCGGTTTCTCACCCCTGAGCTAAGCCTGCTGGTAAGGGGCGTGCCCGTTTGCTCGAACTGTCCGCGGCTCAGTCAGGATCGTCACCAGCCCAGTGAACAACCTCGTTCTGTGGTTCACATTTTTCGCGGATTGCCTGAAGCCTGTAGCAAAATTGTAGCGAAAAGTATCACTTAACTGTACAAAAATGTGTAGGCCCTACAACTATTAGCTACATTTCATAAAACTGTAGCGGCTACAGCTATTAGCTACAAAAATTTGTAGTTAGCTACAAACAGTAGCGCACTACTTAGCTACTCCCCCATCCCTGAAGGTAGAAGAGCACTCTCTCTAATAGTTAAGATCTTAACAGCAGGGAGGGCAGAGAGCCACCTAACATGGTCTAAAATGAAACACTGTTATTTTATGTAGTGTAAAAAGCTCCAATGCTTTTAGTGATCTTCTCGAATTCCAACAGAAACTTTATCTGCTGATTTTCACAGCATTCAGACAGATGTTTCTCCAGACTGACTCTGAAGGCTTTTGTAGCATGAAAGTAACATTTCATCATAAATGTGTACGAATGATTCTACTGAGCTGGTATAAGGTCAGAGCTGTAGATTCATTTTGGACTTTAGACTAAAATCCTTTCACTTTGAATCACTCTGTACCTTAATTATGTGTATTTAATTAAAACAAATGATTGATTATTCTATTCTGTCACTACCAAAACAATCCTACACCCAAACTTTACCAAGTGTTTCAGTAGTGACTGTTTCAGTAGTGACTGTTTCAGTAGTGACTGACTGTTTCAGTAGTGACTGACTGTTTCGGTGACAATTTTCGCTCATTTTGAGCTCAAAAACTCAGCAAACACAGCTTTGAATGGCTGTTCACACAGAAAATCATCATATTTTACATTAAAACACTAAAAAGTGCTGAACTGAAGAAAATATGACGATTCTTAATGTTCCACACTGATTTTCAGACTTTGGGACACATTTACTTCAAAACAATGGGATCTAACTGCTCACCATGTGGCCATGAGGGACAGGGATGCAGCCTCACTTCCTGCTCTAAAATGCAGTGGGCATGGCTAAAATAAGGCTCCGCCTACTGGCTAAAACTCTACGTTTTGGTAGTGATATGAAAACATGAGACAATATTTTTAATTTTTTTTTTAATTTAAAAGTCAAATTCATGATAAATCTAAATCCTTTAACTTCACTTTAAAAGAAATCTGAAGATCTCAAGAAAACATCGAAAATCATCAAAAAAATGTAAGTATAAATTTAGGGGTTAAAGTTTGGGACAGACTGTATGAAGAGTAATTTTGTGTATATTTACCTTATCACTGTCTCTCTCAGTGATTGGGGTTTAAACAGATCATAAATATCTTTAAAAACATATCAGCTCTGAGTACTTTATTGTTTTATAAATATTGTTTTTTTTCAGTAGAATGGTCCAGGAGTGTTACTTTGGGTTGAACTTTGAAGTGGATGAACAGGACTGTCCTTTCGAGGTGGTCTGAGGGGGCAGGCAGCCACAGAAAGGAAATCGCAATAGGTACTAAACAGCTTTTGGAGATCAACAAAAATATATTGATCTAATCTAACGACTACAATTCCAACCTAAAATGCAGTATTTTTACATGACGATAAAATATGGAGAAAACCTCATCTCAGGTCATACAGGAGGGCATATTAACACCGCACAGAAGTCCAACTGTGGTCACTTAAGAGTTTGAAAGAGAAAAGTTGCAGATATTAATGCTATAATAAAAAAAAATACTAAAACTGTTCCATTTTTAGCTGCTCTAATAACTGAGAACTAAAAGTTATTTTATGAAATTTTACTTTATCTAAATATCACATTCTTCAAAAAGTTTCGGAGATTGTTTAAACTCCTGTTACCGTTCTGGGTGCAACCAAGTCATATGATAATATACTTTTTAATTTATTTAACATAAAATTAATCGGGTTATACATTGAGATGGTTACAGTTAACTAGAAATATCTTTGTGTGGTCTTATTGAATGTTATAACTTATGAATAGAAAACAATTTTTAAAGTTTAAAGGTTTTGACAAAATAGTTATGAATTACAAAATATCACATAAGGATATTTACTATTGCTGATGCTGGCAGACTTGGCAAACAATTTCTTTGGTCAAACACAGATGAATTGTTAACCAACACTACAGAGTATGTTACGCTTACACTCAGAAATAAAGGTACTAAACTGTCGCTGGGTCAGTGCCTCTCTTGCCACTGGGGTGGGACCCTCAATGGTCCATCTCAGTACCTTTAGTCAGGGAACATAACTGAACCATAATCCACTGAAATGATATGTTCTAAGCTGTACTGACTCCACACACCCCGTCTCGTCTCCAGGCTTTTATTTTACTGTTCTGTTTAAAACATTCGGTTATGAAAAGGTACAAATACGAACTTTTCACCTGGAAAAACTTATTTAAGGTTCACAATCAGACCTTAAAGCCACTGTTGGAGCTTTGAGGGAACATTTACACTGTTTGTACCTTGATGAACAAAAATGTACCTGGAGAGAACCTTTATTACTAACTGTGATTATGTAAGATTTATTACACAGTAACTAAATTTATGCACAGCAACATAAATCAGATTAATAATATAATCACTATTGGATTTGTACATTCCTGATTGTTTTCTAATGCAATTTCAGTAGAAGTAAAAGTGTGAGTAAAGTGATCTTCCTCAGTTCCATTTTAGTCATCAACATTTAGCTCCTAACTCACTTTCGAGGGGAATTCCACCAATATTTCAAAATTCTTGCATAATTCAGTGTGTGAGATGTAAACAGAGAGATTCAGAGTGGTTTGGTGTGAAATGGTTCAGATGTCTTTACAGTGGTGGTGATAGGAACCAGGGGTCGCCATGACTACAACACAAATATAGACATTTTATTTACTATCCAGAACCACCAGTGAACCTACACGAGTCTTCTGAGTTTATATGGAATGTTGTTGATGGAAAATAGTGGAAAATCTGAAATAATAAGTTTTCTTTGGGGACTATTTTGCCTCACAGCGCCCTGCATATTATGTATCCCTCCACCATGAATGGAGTTTAAAGCCAAAATCTTCTCAAAACTATCATAAAACAGGGTCTCAGTCATCAGGCAGTGAATTCATAATCATTTCATGTAGTAACTTTCTGTGAGGGAGCTTTTAGAGGTGGACATCTGGTTCCTATCAACACCACTGTGAACAGTTCAGACTCTATATGTTTCTCTAAAACGGAGCGTTTCACACCAAACCACTCTGAACGACTCTGCTTACATCTTGCCAGATTATTTATGCAGAAACTTAGAAAAATTAATGGAATTCCCCTTTAATTTATATCTGTTTTGTTGGTTTAGTATCTGCACTGCTTTGTGATTGGTTCTTCCTCTAATTTCTTTATTTTGGACTAAAAGGATCCATAAAGAGAAGAATAGAGTCTAATATACTTCAGTTCCTGTACTCAGAGATGCTGGATGGACTGAGAAGTTCCACTGCAGCTCTGCATTCTTAAAGCTTCCCTAATGGTTCTTGGCCTGGATGTACGGTCCTTGAACAAAAACTTCTATTTGTATAGAACCTTAATATTGTAAAGGTCCTTTCAATTTTAAAAAGGTTTTAGCACATTAGTTCATTAATTTAGTACACACTTAAAAATGATGGTTCTTCAAGGGTTCTTTGGTAATGAGGATAGTTCTGTATAGAACCATGAACACTTACAGAACCCTTTGCATCGTGAAAGCGTTCTTCAGATTGATTGAGGATGTCCTGTAGATGGTTCTAAATAGCAGCTTTTTGGGTTCTATATAGCACCAAAGTGTTTTTCTATTGTAAGAATACTTTTTGGTGCATATAGAACCCTTTTCAAAAAGGTGCTATCTAGAACCATCTACAGCACATCCTCCATCAATCTGAAGAACCATTTCACGTTGCAAAGAACATTTTAATCATGCAAAGGGTTCTATATAGAACCATAAAGATTCCTCGTAGAACCATCTTTTTTAAGTGTGTAGGCTGCTCTACCCACTTCTGCATGTTAGAAACTCAGAGTAATAGTAATGTAGTAATAATTCATACCGGTCAGTGTGAACAGAGTCAGAACCAGAAGGTGCAGCGTGTTCATCTCTCCTCTGGAGTGCGAGCCACTTCTCAACAGGCAGTGAACGTTCTCTGAGTGCTTGTGCTTTTCTCTGTGAGACATGAAAAGAACTGAAAAAGAGGAAAGAGGAAAGTTAAAAAGAAGAAGATTACAAACCCAAACGCCACAATTTGTTCTTTCACTTCTCATGTGAATGATTGCTTAAGCGTTACCAGTGGCATCACTGAAGCCCACAAGACGAGGATCTTACAGACTCCAGTGCACACAAAAAAAAAGAAAAAGAAAAAAATTACTGGACTCACAAAAACAAAAAATAATGTTGATTTTAAAAAAAAGCTGGTGCTCTAATGTAGAATAATACTCAAACTATATTATTAAACTAGGAAAGTGCAGTTCCTGAAGAAAATGCACAGTGACCGCACATCTTAAACAGCTCCATGTTAATGCTGGATGATTTCTGTGGTGCTCCAGGGTGTTGCTAGTTGTTTTCTGTGGTATTTTGGGAGGCTGCTAAATTGTTGCTAAGGTGTTGCTATGACATTGCAGGTGGTTGTTATGGTGTTGACAGGTAGCTGCTATGTATCTCATGCAGTTACTACATGGTTGCTATGGTGTGCCAGGTAGTTGCTATGGTTTTGATAGTTTTTAAATAATATGTAATAATATATAATAATGATAGTAATTAAATAATATATAATAACTGATATTGTGTCTTATTGTGCCCATTAAAAGGGGCGATCTTTGTGATTTCTACAGTGAAAAATGGTAAATGTAGACATCAGTAAAGTGTTAGTCTGCTCTCAGCTAATGCTTTAACTAATCTTTCCATAGTGTACGCCTGTTGTCACCTGTTACTGCAAAACTGTGCACCTCATGAAACAGAGGTTCAAAAAATAATGTTATGAATGAATAATTATTATTAATAAATAATGAGTTTCAGAATAATTAGTTTAGTGATATTTGTCACTATCACAGCAAAACAAATGTTAATTTTGTGAGATCTTGAGTCATTATCATAACATAAGGGGTAGTGTTTTATTAATATAACATCCATTATGTTGTGATAATGGCATTAATATCTTGAGATCTTGACATAATAATGATAGAAATAACTCAAGATCTCGAGAAAAACCCTATGGAGCTCTGCTGGTTACGGACCCCTGCTGGTGACATCCAATATAAATAAAAATAATATGTGGCCACGCCTTATTAACGCATGAAAACGAGATCCTAATGCGTGGCCAGTCTAAAGTCTTCAAGATTAGAAAGAATCTCATTTGCATGCCTTACTAAGTCATGGCCACATTAATTTTACTTATACAGGATGTCACTGGCGGGGCTCCGTAACTGGTGACATCCTGTATGAATAAAAATAATGCATGCCTGTGTCTTGGTAAGGCGTGGAAACAAGATAATTAAGTTGTGGCCATGACTTAGTAAGGCATGGGAATGAGACAATTAAGCCTTGACCACAGGCATGATCTCGTTCCCACGCCATGACTTAATTATCTTGTTCCCATGCCTTATTTAGTCATGGCCACGCATTAGGATCTCGTTCCCACGGGTTAATACGGCGTAGCCACGCATTTTTTTATTTATACGGGATGTCACGAGCAGGACATTGTAGAAAACACATTAAAACTGAGAAAAAGAAAAAAAAGATGTGATTGCATGTCCTTTGAGGGCTTCCGTACCCCTCCCTGTTTTAGAATTATGCTTTTTTTGGCCATATTTGACACAAATCGTCTTTCGCTTTGATAATTGGTATCAAAGATAATTTATAAGGTAAATCTTCATATATCCTGCCCTCTTTCCGCTCCTGTATCCTAATGACTACATTACCCATGAGGCATAATCGACTCCACGGCCGACGTCATGTCCGAAACACCAAGTAGTTTCCTATGGACATGACACAGTCGTTTAGATTACAACAAAAACACAGGATATCGGGATAAAACCGCACTTTACTCTGCTGTCCGACCTGCGTTTGATAACTCGTTGCCCATTCGGCCGGAGGAGAGCGGGCTGGGATGGAGGCGGTGCCGCGAATGCCGATGATTTGGCTGGATCTGAAGGAGGCAGGAGAGTTCGAGTTCAGCGCGGCGGTGAAGCAGGTGAGCAGCCGAGACGGAGGCACCAGAGCCGGGGAGAGCAGCCTCAACACTCCCCCTCATAAACCTACACCGTCACTGCGTGTGCTGGGGGGGTAAAAGCCGGCTGAGTCCAGCCTCCGAGCCCGAAGCGGCTGCTGTTACCGAGCTAACGCTAATGCTAACTAGCTTCCCAGCCTGTTAGATAACGTGATTAGCTCGTTAGTGCTAATCGTGGTTTTGTGGAGCAAAACTGTTTGGCCTGTTCAAAACATTTCAGCTCGCTAAATACCGTTGTCACCTCACCATAACCGAGATTTCCCCTGCCTGAGAAAAAGGCCATTAGGATTAATCAGTTTAATTAATTGGGAATCAGTCTCAGAACAACATCAGGACCTTTACACTGTGATATCAGCCCATCCGGAAAACACAGAGTACCAGTACTCACTACTGGATACTTCCAGAAGCTCTTTAATGGGGTCTAGGATGTTTTCAGGAGGGTTTCAGTGTTAACTGAGACATAGTAATACCTGAACAGCAGGTGTCTGCCCACTGAGGCTGGGGTTCCTGTCAGGGGCTGTGACGATGATCATATTTTCAAGCTCGATACGATTCAATATCAGGTCAAGATTGGATTTGCTGGTCGATATGTGTCAAAGATGTTTGTACACAGAGTGTTTAGTTCAACACTAAAACAGAAACATGATCAAGCAAACCCAAAAAATCAGGCCCAGTCATTTGTGTGGGTGTGGCCATAGCATAGACCCCCCCCCGCCACGCCCACTTTGCTGAAAAGTCAGTTTATGTGGTGTTATTGTAAATAATAATACAAAGACTTTCGAATATAAGCTCACACAGGACTGTCAGGATATTAGACACTAATTTTCTGCCGAGTGAGACCATGGCTGATATCCTGATATTGGTGCTGATACTTGATATGATGCATATCGCTGCTGTCAGGAGAAAAGCTTGTATCTCCAAAATGGTAACTTTACAGGAGAAGGAAAAAACATACTTTACTTTTAATGTAAGTCAATGGAACCAGACTTGTTTCTGAAGTAGTTTTGGGTCGTTTCTTTAAGTCCATTCAGCGTGAAATTTACAGACAATGTAAAAGGGAACAGGTATTTTCAAATTATGCCAAAAACTGAAAAACAACGAGGAAAAAGTACGAGGTTTTCTTCAGACAACAGCGATATATAAGCTTATATTCAAAAGTCTTTGTATTATTATTTTTAAAAAACACCACATAAAGTGACTGTTCATGGAAATGACATAACTAGAGAGGTCATGTCAGTATTGCTGGGTATCAGTATCGGGCTGATATCAGCATTAACCTTTTTAACTGCTTGGAACCACCACCGGTTCCAAAACACACTTCATCATATTCTTTACTTCATAACTTTCATATTTCATAAGCTACATTCTAAAGGTGGGGGTCGTATGAGAGCTGTGACCGTCTTCTTTCCAGTCAAATAGATGGGTGATGTAATTATAAATCCTTATAATAAAAGAAGCTGAACTCACAAACTTTTTTTCTACTGAAAGTCGACCCATTTTTCCACAAATCTGGGCTATAAACTATAAACAGATGGCGTCTCTTCAGTGATCTGCACTGTAAAAAATTATTTTTATAAAATAATACAAAGAGCGTCTAAGATTTTTGGCTTTCAGCAGTGATTTGTAAGCATATAGCAACATGTGTATGATCATAAAAACACATGTTCTGTTTATTTGAGGGGAGCTTTTACAAAAAAAAAAAAAAAATTACATTTATTTCATGCAGTTACTGGATAATTTGCCTTATGATTTGGACATGTAAATTCAGATGGACAAACCGAAATATACCCACGAGCATAAGAGGTTGAAGTCTAAGCTGATTCTAAGTAGTAAAGTGAATCTGACTTTTTCCACCTGCCGCCTTTGATTTTGCCTGATCTGTAGCTCATTCTCTCAGTAAATACACTGCAGAGCTGATTAGCATGTGGAGCCTCCAGATCAGGCAAAATCAGAGAGACAGGAAAGCGAATTTCATTTAACTGTGCAGACACAACATGAACATAAAGCTCAAGTGTATTTTGTTCTCTAATCGTATAGAATTCATGGAATAAATCTGCGTTTGTTCTGAGTTTATCTTGTTTTGTGTCAGCTAACTAACTCTCTCCACACACTGTGTTTTCTGGCTAAGAGAGACGAGATGAAGGTAGTCATGATGTGATTAGCCTAGCAGCGCTAGCTGAGGTAAAAACAGGCGCTTAGTATTTGAGTGTTTGTCTTAAAGACTTTAGACTGGCTGCCTTTCTGTGTGAAAATCAAGTCACTTCTGATCTGCTGTGGACTCTGTTGGTGTTTAATATAGTGCAGTACAGCATTAATGTACATAAGAATCTGTACTGGATTGCTAACTAGTTAGGCTAGCAACGTTCGCTATAAAGCTGCCTACAGTGAAATGTGTCAGTATCTCAGTTAAATATGCCAGAAATTGAGTGAAATGTGTCAGTAACTGAGGGAAATGTGTCAGTGTCTGAGTGAAATGTGTCAGTAACTGAGTGAAATGTGTCAGTAGTGTCAGTAACTGAGGGAAATGTGTCAGTATCTCAGTTAAATATGCCAGAAATTGAGTGAAATGTGTCAGTAACTGAGGGAAATGTGTCAGTGTCTGCATGAATATGCCAGTAACTGAGTGAAATGTGTCAGTAACTGAGTGAAATGTGTCAGTAGTGTCAGTAACTGAGTGAAATGTGTCAGTGATACTGCAGTGAAATGTGTCAGTAACTGAGTGAAATGTGTCAGTAACTGAGTGAAATGTGTCAGTAGTGTCAGTAACTGAGTGAAATGTGTCAGTAACTGAGTGAAATGTGTCAGTAACTGAGGAGATTGTGTCTGTAACTGCATGAAATGTGTCAGTAATTGAGTTACATATGCCGGTAGCTGAGTAAAATATACCAGTACGTCATTATCACAGCAAAATGTGTGTTGTTTTCTCAAGATCTTGAGTTATTTATGTCATTGTCATAACATAACGGGCGATTGTTTTATCTCAAGATCTTGAGACAACAGCATTCTTTGTGACGTGATAACGATATAAAGAAGTCAACATCTCGAGATTGTACATGATAACGGAGTAGAACTAAAACCGTGAATGCGTGGCCCTTTTCTGCCAGTAACTGAGTGAAATATTTCCGGTCACTGAGTAAAATATCTATTTGCAAACTGTTCTTGGAATTCAAGTCACTTGAAAATTCTGAATTACTCAAAAAACGTGCACTTACGTCACACACCAGCCAGGACACAGTCTGTTAATGAAAGAGGAGGTAAGGTTAGCTGGGCCAGATCATTACTCCACTCTTTATTTGGGAGTTTGTGTGGATCCTTTGCGTCAGCAAGGCTGATTTTATCTGTATATAGTTGCATGGCATCTCTGTGGAGTTGATTTAATATACACCACTTTCCTTTTATTTGATTAACTTTTAAGCACAAGTCTGTAAAACACAGTAAAACAGTGACCTCTTCAAGCTCTGGCGGTGAGAGTGTTTGCAGCATGTAAACAAAGAACAGACCCTGCCAAAATGACAGAACAACCACATAATCCAGCACGATGTGACCTCAATTCCCAGCCTTATAGAGTCTTAAAGTTCCATACACTGTTTCCATTGTTCATGTTTACAGTTTTTGGTATGTTAAACTAAGATTTGATAGCAGTGCTTCCCAGCTCCCTGTAATAAGTATGGCGGTAACTCACTTGATGGAGCTTAAGCTAATGATAGGACTCTGCCGGGAAACACTGAATTAGGCTTATCACTGTTTTTCTTACTAGAACCTTTTAGTATGAAGCAGAGCTTTTCCTGATGTCGCTATCTGAGGACTGGTTTTCCTAAGGCTCCTTCCTTCTATAGACAAAGCCATAAATACTTTCATGCCGTCTCCTCTGTGTAATCTAGACGTTAAACTGAGGTGATTCAGTTATCAGTTCATTGCATGGTTTAGTGGGTGTGCCAGAGCAGTGAAGTCACCCAACTGGGCTGGATTCCAGGATCAGAATTAGAGTTTTTCTCAGCTTAGGCCTTTATTTACAGATCTCTTAACTAGGCGATCCGGGAGTTACAGACAACAAAAGAGCCACAGAAGAGACGTCTTGTTAAAGGAGTGGCAAAGAAAGGAGGTTAAATGAGTTAAATGGTTTTATCATCAAATATAAACACCTGCAGTGATTATCTGATGTATGTTTAGTAGTGAATATGAAGCTGCGTAAGTCAGGAGTCACAACCCAAATGATAAGAAGAGACATTTTGTCCTATTAACAAAAATCCAACCACCTTGGGAACCACAACAATTTATGTCCATTTTATTGAAGTAACGTTTTAACATCTTGGCTGTAAATATGTTTCAGTATGTGCTGATGTACTAATATAATATAAAAAAATATAATATAAATGAAAACGCAGACTTACTTTGAGCTAAACCTTAAAGCAGAACAGCTATAGCTGATTTTCTTGCATCTCTGGCAGGAAACCTTTCCACCAAAGTAGAACAGTTTCTTGTAAAATGTCTCTCAACATTTGACTTTTTATGAGGCTGAAGTCGCTTCTCATTCACCAGCTTCTTCTTTGAATTTTCCCATTCCACTTTATAAGGTGCCTGAAGTGCCAGAATGTAACTGCTGTACCATTTAAGGTGGAACGGGCAAATTCGAACAAGAAGCTGGTGAATGAGACTTCAGCCTCGCAAGTTTTTAGTGTTTGTCAGTTTCTCAATGCAAATTAAACGTATCAGGAAACCATCTGACTGCTCATAAACGCGAATAAGTCAGTTCATCTCCAAATTATCGATGTTAAACGTTCTTTTTGCCATTTCGTTAGCTGCAAGCTAGGCGAGATTGTTGTCTGCGTTGCTTTGTAGTCAGCAGTCTCCACACCAACGTTCAGGGTCAATGGTTGATGAATCAGCAGTTCTACATTAACTCCAGAGTTTAAGACCATTTATTGTTAAACTGTGTTGAACGATCAGCAGAGCTTTATTTTACTGTAAAGGAGGATTATTTTATTTTTACCTATAATCTAATTCTGCTGTGGAGCCACAACAGGGCAGTAGAAGAGCCGCATGGGGGTCCGGAGCCACATGTTGCCGACCCGTGGTGTAGGGAATTTAGTTTAGAGGTGTGTTGTTAGTAGGGTTGCTTGGACGGAATCAGCCAAGATCCTGATTATGTAATTGTTACAAACACCTGATCCACAATCGGAGAGTTTATTACTTTGATTTCGGCTGATCTGTGCTGCAGTAAGTAACGTGAGGCAGGTAAATGCTGCAGCTACACATGTACCAAAACGTCATAGCATAACTATACGTTATACGTCATTATGTTGAATGTAGTATCCTCTTACTCTCAGTGTAGCTCTTTATTTGATTCCTGTTATTTATCTAGGCAACTGTTTTTTTATTTACGAATTTAAAACTTGCACTATATATGTTTTGGGGATTTGGGG